TGACATGGGGGTCAACCGCGTTTTATCTGGTTTGGTTGGGTGTCGGTGAGTGAATGCCAGTGAATCGCGACCACGAGACCCTTGCGGCCTGTGTAGAGACAGAGATTTCTCTCTTCGTGGAAGCAAGTCAGCCGCAATTCTACCATGGCAGCTTTTAAATCTATCCAATTTATAGAGGGTTGACTTTCTCGCGCTCTCATTGACTCTTTGACTGGGTCAAAGGCTTTTGTTTGTGCTTGTCAGACTTATCTTGTGGATATGTGGTGGCTGGATCGAACTCGTTCTTGGCGTTAAAGTATTGGGATCCAAGTGCCGCTGCTCCAAATCCCCAGCCAAGCCCAATCCCCACCCCACATCCACCACCTTCAAAGCAAAGTATTAGAAAACGTGAGAGATCTCACTCACCTATGCCGAGTCCCATTGTTGGTATCGACACTCCTGCAATTGAGCTTGAAAATCTAAGAAAACAGAGAAGATGTAGAGGAATACGTATACCTCCGAATCCCCATCCAATCCCAAAACCACACCCAATTCCAATACCTGCTTGAAGTTCCATTGCGGAGTTATCCATTGCGGAATGATGGAAATTGAGATTCATGGACTTACCAAAACCGACACCCTGTCCTGCAAATGCGCTCATCACCATCTCTGCCAGATCAAAGAAATCCTTCGGATACGTCTCTAAGTTCGTACACAAAAGTTGGGTGTATAGTTCTTTATCTCTAGTCTTGAAGTAGTGACAGGAGCAAACGATAAATTTGAGTGTCAGTTACAAGAAAGGAAGCACAAACCGTTAAGAATCGCTTCGTAAAGTCTAGCTTAGTGTCCTTGTTTTCTGCAAAAGAATCATCTCATTGCCTGGAAGAACAAAGTCTCTCTACCTGTCGAAGCTTGACTTCCCTGTTGTGGAGAACTCCATCTCTTCTGAGTGCCATGGGATTCACCCCCGCTTTGTGGGCCGCAACAACACCTAAAGCCTCCCAATAGTTGGCTGCTCTCACCTGAACAAAAGTATGATTTCAAGAGGACGATTTGCAAAGAAAGAAAAGCTCTTACTGCTTCGATTTGTAGCTTCTCCGGAGTGTCATTCAAGACGGTCACGTTCTCCTCCACAGCAATAATCAGAGGCTGTGGCACGAGAAACGAGAATCAGGATTGGCGCGCACTAGTAAGGAACTGTTTATAAATGACGTACCTTTTGTCGAGCCTTTTTACTGAATGCACGAACTCCGTCGCCTCCACAGGCGTTCACCGGCACTAGCACTGCATCGACGTCCTCGGCCCATATCCGGTGAGGTCTGTGATCGCTGTCCCTGCTAACATATTGAGGAGCCTTGCTTAATCCCGCGAGAACGCTAGGAAGAAAGGTGTATCCAATCTGGAAGCAACATACATTGAGCTTTAAGAGAAGAGAAGAACAGCGTCCTTACCTCTTCCGCGGCAGATCTAGGAGAAACAGACGAATCGAATGGCAAAGGAGCCAATGCTGGTGCGTGCGCGCAAGGGATGTGAAACTCACTCACCACCATTTTACTAATCACAGCCTCGACTCCAGCCAGAGCATCGACACCCTGTTTCGAGGATAGTTTAGTTTCGTCACGAGGTCTTTGAAACTGAAGAATGGTATACCTGACCTTGCCTATAGTCTTTCAACACCTCCACATCGTCGTCTGGAAAGCGTGCTACCACGGCTACAGCATCGATCGCAGCATCTCTGACAAGTTTCTCTACAGCTCGTAGCAAAGAATCAGAGCGGGCAATGCGACCAGTAGAAGCACCGGTTTTGTCATCGATCCACTTCTCA